GTGTGGGTTGCGAGGACAAGGCGGCGAATCTAGATTTGGTGGATCAGACTTTTTTGTATAATGGATCGAGGTAGGTTGGTTTGTGATCGTGTATGCTTCTCCTGCAGTCTACTTAAGGTGTACTCCGCGATAGATGAGTTGTGTCGAACAAGAAAGAGCATAATATATAAGGCAAGGCATCGGTTGACTGGTGTTACCTACTGTATTAAACGGTCGGTGCATGGATCTTCCCTGAAGGACTGTTGCGAAGAAAGCCTATCGAATGCCCTGAATGAATGTCAGGCCTTGAGCGTGCTGAGGCACCGGAATGTTGTGCGCTTCTACAACTCGTGGTTTGAGGCGGGTGCAGTGCTTATGCAATTGGAATACTGTGTTGGTGGAAGCCTTTCGGATTGTCTTCGCACTACGAGGGATTCAGGTGTGCTTTCGGGCACGGCTATTGGCAAGTTATTGAGTGACGTTGCTGGTGCGCTAAACTACATGCACACGAAGTGGTGTATGGCGCACAGGAATGTAGGCTTGGGGACGATATTGGTTCAGCTGAAGCCGCAGGTTGCAAGTCACTTGGCCTTCAAGTCTGATGAGGAAGCGGAAGAAGCGAGGACTTGTTGCCACCAGGTGAGCTACTTGTGACCGCATTGTCAAGGTAAGTTAGTTGCTTTCGAAGGTCTACAGTAGTGGAATGCGAGGTAGTTTGGTAGAGGGATAGTGAGATGAATGGAAGGGCGAGTGAGTAGTGGAGTGGAATTTGTGTGCTTGGGAAGGGATTATAGTTGCTCCAGTGACTGGATGCGTTTTTTATTCCTTTTCAAGTCCTTAATGTCAGGCGAAAGCGACGTGGTGGATTTCAAATTGGCTAGTTTTGGTAAGGCATCGCGAATAAGTGAGGCGGGGGATGATCGTGGCGTCGACGTGTACGCTCTCGCTGTGACAGTTTGTCTTGCAGTGAGTGTTAGCTGGTGATTTGTATTATGTGAGACGTTGTGTTGGTGATGTTTGTGTTTTTAGGCCGGAGGATCAGCAGTCTCGCATGGTGGTAATGTGCTGAATGTGATGAACCTCTCCAACATTCCTCTTTCACTTCACTCCGTATTGCAGGTTTGTGTTGTATCAGTAAGGAAGGGGAGCAGTTCACAGAGCTCCAACTTTTCATAATATGGGGCATTTTTTTTACTCCTTGGTTCTAGTCAATGTTGGAGCCGTCGGGTGCAGATCGAGTGAGCGCAGGAGAAGTGGTGGAGCACCTTGCAATTCATCACAATGGTAGGCGAATTTACAAAAGGGTTGCCATTACGTATCACGTTGTTTGAACCCACACTTGGTCTGTATTTTAGGATCTGGTAGTTAGGAGGTGTTTTGGGGCACCTTGTTTGATCTCTACAACCACGGTCTTCATTTGATGTGTAACTTTTGTGGCGTTTTTAATTGTGTCAAACGTAGTTGCAAATAAAGCAGTCATTGGTAGTAACCGTTGTTGATGTGGTGGGAGGAAGGGTTGTTTTGGAACAATGTTTCGCATGGGAGGGGAATTGATTGCCTTGTTTGTGGTGTGTGGGGCTGGGTTTGAGCCTGGGTGCGGTGGGGTGGGGTTGGTTGCACTGCACATGAGGGAGCGGACGTGGAGGTTTCTGTCCTCGACGTTCATGGGCGTATGATGGGGTTGCATGAGCATCGAAGCATGATTTTGGCGTTCAAGCTGCATGGTGGACTCTGTGAGGACGGGCAAAGCTATTTGGCTGCATTGAGTTGTGGCACCGTAACATATAGGATGGAAGGGATGATCCAATTTGAGAACCGTCAATCGTTACTAGCGCCTTAGCCTTTTATGTGGTGTAGGCAAGATCTATCTACTCCATGATTGCACCGTGTTGGGTGGAATGAGAGCATCGCCAATTGTGAAACCGCCATCTTGTATTCTCTCGCTCCCACTTCACTTTGTTACAACAATGGAGGACCGGCGCATTATCGCAGATCGAATGAGATGCCCTTTCGCTACTTCTGATCCCATACAATCGACGACGAAATAGATAAGAAGGTGATTTTGTCGGTGGTGTGAGTAGGGTGTTTTGTGCATGTGTAAAGTTGAAATGAGTTGGCCCTGTCGGTGCTGCGGTGAGATAGTGTGAAAGATCGACGATATTGAGGTCGGGTGATTTTTGGCAGTCATGTTAAATCGGATGACCGGTAGGGCTGGTTTGTGGGTGCATTTCGGCAGCAACGATTACGTTGTGATGGCTGGTGTGGTGGATCTATCGAGCAGAATGTCAGAAACGTCGTTCACAATAAGGTAGGAGCTATGTGTTGCTATGCATGTTGGACTGCCTGCAGGGTTGGCGACTGCATTGCTTCCGTTGGATGGGACTGTGTAGCGTTTAGAAGCTTCCTGTTGGAAGATAGAAGGCATGAGATTTGGTTAAGTGCTTTTATTCGGACGGAAAGGTCCGAATTTCGGACAACCTACCGAAGGAACTGCCACTTATCGAACAGGTAGTCTGGCCTTCTCATCAATAGCTCGTGATTTCTATCCACCGACTATCACCACAGGCTGCTCGCCGCATCTTTATTCTTTCGTTTAAAGCTAAACCGTAGACATGGGATCACTTGAAGAATAATCGCATCGTGCTACCGTATAGGCCTGTATGAAGGCGCCTCGGAGACTACAACAGTGTTGGTGCTCAAAGCTTCATATCACTGCACTTCTTGATTACTTTGAGCAACTGGGATGGCCTTCTGAATGTCGTACAACGCCAGTAGTTCAGGCGTGTAAAGCCCATTCGGAGTGCTCATTCATTAGCCAGCGCCTAAAAGTAAGTGCACGTATTCAGAGAGTCGGAAATGTCGATTACCTTCTCACAACTCTCCTACCGTAGATGTCACAGCGGAACTTCTCCTCACGCAAGTTATTTCCTACTGGCCTGTGTTCGTCGGCTATGGCTTGCCCTTAGGTGCTTTGGATGCACCTTCTTCCGTCTCCATATGGAGCGAGTTGTTGTCCGCCTTCCTCTATCCCATTTTGGTGGTGGGAGCTTTCCAGGCGGCGCGGCACAAGGCTCTCGATCCAAGGCAGCATCGTGTATCCCTGCGTCTACACCTCCTAGCTGCCCTATCAATGAAGCCGGCTCTTTGCATCTCGTCTCAGCTGTCGATTCACGCCATCCTATCGCGGTACTGGCAGGATCGACTC